AGAAGATTTTGTTATGCATCTTTCATCTCCTGATCCCCCCCGTCTGTGCTGATTAGGTGTGGGTTCTCCATATCAGCAATAAACATGGTGACTGTGAGGTAAGATCCAGAACGCATCCTATACAATGGCCTGGGAAATCCTTGGCAGAGAATAAACACACTCACAGGCCTTAGCACATAAGATCAGAGGGGAGTTACAGCATTGTGAGAGACTTTCAGAATCAACTGGATTTATCCCCTTACTTTGGGTTCTCCCCATAATTGCACCATCAGCTCAAGAACATAGACCAGCAACAAGAGGAAGTATATAGAATACAAGTTAATGCACATCCACCAGCATGAGGTATCTCAATTCAGAGCTCTGCTCAGAAGAAAGAATCCTTACCAAAAGCATAATCAGAATGAAAATCTTATTAGTACAAGAGAAACTGGCTAAAAACCTTTTACCAAGTGACTTGGAACTGCTGATGCAATAACCACATGTACCAAATCTGGCAGCCTCTTGGACAGCACCCCTGAGGTTCAGCATTAGATCTTTGACATGATGGACAGCTCCCTTGTAGACAGTTCTCAAGCTGTCCAGCTCAGTTACTCACAAGACCATGCCATGACTGCTTCACGTGTAGGCTGAGAGAGTGGGGAACATCCTTGCCTGTAAACCTATTGATGAACTTCCTGGAAGGAATTAAGAGAGACAAGCAGAAAGTAATCAGGAATGGCCAGCATCTGAAACAGATAGCTTGAATGTAGATGCCCAGTAAGTAACTGTGAGTACTACCCCCTATGTGATTTTCCAGTTCTTTTGCATCATCCAACCTTCCCCTTGGTGATGTCCACATTTTAAGATTCATTTGGTGGGCAATATAATTGGAACAATACTCACTGCTTCCCATTAGGAAGATGCAATGAAAACCTCTCTGCAGTTTCTTTGAGATATTCCAAATGGCTAGGGTCTGATCCTGCAAGGCAAAAGGGACCATGACTACTTGTCTACTAGGAGCAGAATGCCTGCTACTTCTCAAGAAACATCACTGGACTCCCACTTGCTTTCACCGGTATGCAGAGAAAGCTCATGGTGTTCATATGGTGTTGTTTGGCCAGCCATCCTGGATTTTTCTGATGTTCTACACAATACCGACCTACGCTGTGTCCCCATGTGAGAGACACAACTGCTAGATAGAAATGTATGTGGAAGTCTGAAATGTACGTTAAAGCATATAACTAAACTGCATGTGGATAGGAAACATATACAGCTGCCAAATTCAGCTTTGTTTACCTTTCTGGGACACAGTGCCCTTGCATCCCAAGTTGGAAGAATGAAGTAAAAGTTGCTCCTGGTAGTTCTGTGTCTGTAGTCCTGAGTGAAGCACCTGTAATGGTTCTGAAAAGACATGTGTTAATAATATGCTTTCCCAGTGTTTATTAGACCATGTTCTCCATTCTTTATGCAAAATCTCCTCCTTCTGTGCCAAGATCTCTTTCAATGGAATCCCTTACCACAGATGCCCCACATTGCATGTTCTACATTCTCTGAACTTCAAGACAGAAAGAGAAAGACTGAAGCTCAAGGTAGTATCGTGTACGTTATGCCTTTCCTGACCATAGCTAGTATCTCTCAATTAAAAATACATAAGCAATTAACTACTCCATGCTGAAAAATAGCATCTTAGAAAGAAGTTTCATTTAACCTTCTCCTTGAAAACAGTTTTCTGTGCAGAGAGATTTTGTTGCTGTTCCATGTGAACAGCATTCAATTGTAGGAACCCGGTACCCAATATCTGATGTAATATGTGATATAATACATCCTAGATACAGGTTTATCACCTTAATAAGAAACAAGCAAGGAAGCTCATTGAAATCCCCCATACACACAAGCCTCAAGAATTGCTGCATCTGCAAACAATTGCTTGAGATACATAACATTACCCTTCTACAGAATACCATGGCAGGGTCGTTTCAATACCAGTGCAAAGATGCTATTTGGCTTACTAAACATTTTAAGCATCAAACCTGTGTAGTGAATGATGCAAAAGCAATTGCAAGTAATACAAAAAGAAGAGGTGAACTTGTGTACTCAGGGCCAATACAGTATGTGGCCATCAACCTGAAACTCTGTGGATTTTAGCCCAATTTCTACAGCCATCGACAAGTATTTGCTCGGGTCCCGGCTTGCTATGAGTGAAAAAAGTTTGTTTGTAATAGAGAGATATAAAGAAGGCAGATGATTACTTTGGGTTCTAGTCCTATCTACAACCAGACCATCCACCATCAGCATCAATCTCCAACAGAAAAAAAAGTTGCCTGTGTCTAAATTGGGAAAATACAAGCTCTTAAACTCTACCTAATTGGGTGTCTTCACATATTGGTATCATTACAAATGGTTCTAAAGCATTTCATCATTAGAGTCCGTTGTGCATTTAGACTCTGGACTGCCTCCAGTAGATAAAGAATGTTACTTCAGAATGTAAGAGAGTCCCGAAATAAATAACGCATCATTTTTCTTCCTCCTTCCTTGTTACCTGATGGATAACAGCAATCTGTATGTCAAGGGTGCCTCACCCTACCTTACCACCTCTACAGATCACCACAGGCAGTGTAATCCCATCTGCCACATACTTGCTCTATGTGTTCTACAGTTCACAATGACACAAACTTGACACAAACACTGATAGGATTCCAGACATTGTCAGAGTTTAGAAAGTTACTTTCTTGGACTACAGGTTCCAATCAAGAAAGGAAGCAGTGTGGCAGCAGAAAGCAAAGGCTAGAACAATTACTTCAGAGGGCTACAATTCTGAGAATTACCCAGTCAGTATGGTCAGGGCCTTTTGCAAGTTGTAATCCAAGATTTGTTCTAGGCTACCTAGACAGCAGTAATCTTCTTCCTGATTAACACGTACAGTATATAATCCGTCGGCAGACCAGCTCTGAATATGGAACCCTTATGAAACCTTTGTGGAAAGATGAACTTGAGAAGCTTTAGTCTTCCGGTTCTTTAGTAAGGTAAGGGAAAGGTTAGGTGTGTCCACTTTAAAAGGCAGTCATAAACTCAAGGTCCTGTTTCTCATTCAATCATCATCGGTCTAGATCCCATGTGCACATGTCAGGCTAGCTGTTTTTGTCCCAGTGTACACCACTACAGACTTACTTGATTTACAATTACTGAAGTTACTCTTTCAGATTAATTCCTCATATCATTCAGATAATTGCAACATTGGCCAATGACTTGCACTATCCACAATCCATTAAATAAAAAAAAAAAATAAGCAATCGAACAAAATTATTTCCAATATGGCCAGTTCATGCATTCAAGTGTGATAAATCTACTGATAACTCACAGAGAAATTAGACACAGACACACACACACACACACACACACACATCTTTTGTCTCAGTAAATAACCCAAGACCCCATTTCTTGTTCAATCATCATCAGTCTACTGTTAATATAAACAGTAAATCAGCTGTTTATTTATTGGTCGATTTTCTATGCATATTAATAAGAATTCTGCCTTCAATAGATCACCACAAGATAAGTTTTGATTCTGGAAAGATGTTTTGTAAATCATTATGAGAATGAGTTTTTATCCATATAATCACATGTTTCAGATTTATGCTTTGATGGTTAATCAGCTTTCTTACTCTCAATTTATCTCCACCTGGATATCAGCAAAGATTAAATGTAACAGTTATTGTTTTTATTACCAAGACATGTTTTTTAATCTTGTGGATATCAGCACTGTAGTCTAATAAGCTTCAAAAAAGCCTACTATTTTCTGTTAATGAAGGACCATCTCAAGTCCCTAAGCTATGTCACTCACATATTTGATATTCCACTCTGTCTATGAATCCTTCTTTTAAAAATGCATCAGTCAATAAAATTGATTATATAAAATGAAGGCTAAGCTACATAGAAAAACCACACAGAAGACACATGTTTTGAATAAAAGATTGTAGGAATGTGTCAAAACCAAAGGATGTTATAGTACCTGCTGAAATATACATAAAGTTCCAAGTCTGAGAAACCAGTTAAAACTTCAATCATATATAATGTACGTGGGAGCACGTCTAGTTGAACATGAATATGTTGTCTTCCTTGGATCCTAAGAGCATCTAATTTTCAGAGATTCCACCTAAAGTTACAGGTCCCTATATCACATGCCTTTGTATTGCATAGAGTTTTCCAACCTTTAGAGGTAGGTTTTTGGGGGTCGCAGAGGTAAGGAGATCCAGGAAGACCCAACTCTGCAATGGGTACTCTGTTCCATTAACAGATTCACAGCTACATACAGTCCAGTAAAGATGCAAAACACTGCATTACACAAGCTAAAGGATATTCTGTCCCAAATAACATACAAAAGCCACAAAAACAGCGAAGCGCAGGAGTCAGCCAATACGCAGATCAATCAATGTATCATTATACAGCTTGTTCATCAATTCTTTGCTACATAACATATTGTGAGGTTGGTAAATCCCATGATAAATATGTAATTTCCTGAATATAAGTCTTCAGGCTAGACTATATGCAATCTTTCAAGACATTTCACCTATGAGCTTCAATATTATTACCATTTGCCATTTTACAAGATTTAAAGGGGCAAGTGCATTCTCCGCATGCAGAATGCCCCAGGTTCAATACTTGCCATCTGGTTCTGCCTGAAGAATCTATTGAGAGGATTTGGACAAGATCTCTAGCTACTACATTGTGGAGGCACACAGTTGGAGTAATCAATACACAGTTTTGGAGTATTTGTTTATCTCCTGGCCAGCTACCTACACAGAGATAACTTTGCTAATTTTCACTTTCTGGGTTTTTTTACTTCTAAAATATTTTATATGCCAAGTGAGAACACAAAACCAGTCCCTCCACATAACAGGACTAACCTTTAGTTTGTTAACCATTATGCAAATATTAAGTTGTATAAACCCATCAGAATGTGCAATTCTAGTATTCCATAATACAGAAATAACTATTTTTAAAAGGGTGATGGAATGGATTTGGACTTAAGTCATACTAAGAGTCAGGCTTCAATTGGTCATGATTAACTTAATCTTCATAGATTTCAATAGGATTGCTCGCAGCATGCATTAAGCAGCTATACCTAGCTGGTCGAGATTTAAACCATAGCCCCAAATATGAACAATCTAGAAGAAAATCAGGGACACTGTAAAAACTGAAAGAAAAATAACGAAGGGTTGCAGTGACAACTGTAGAGCCAAGACTACATTTTCAAGTTATTATTCCACTGCATAACCCTTCCTGAGTTGCCAAATGCCTTAAGTTCTAAATATCGATTAATTTTTTTTCACATTTAACCTCTGTTACTGAAACTGTTAAAGGGAAATGATGCGTTGCAAAGCAAACAGAAGCTGACCTTTGCATGTTTTCCCATCAGGCTGTAAGGTAAATCCAACAGGGCAACTGCAGCGTACTCCCGTTGCTGTATCCTTGCAAGTACGGTCACAGCCTCCGTTATTGACAGCACATGTTTCTAAGAAATGAAAGAAAGAGAGAAAGAGAGAGAAAGAGAGAGAGAGAGGAGAAGTAGAGTAACACAACACATTGTAGTCCTCTGAGTGTTCATAGTATGCAAGCAACATATTCTTAAGCATGCATATATGGGTTTAAGACTCCCTTAACTTCAACCCCAAAGCATATACATTCAAATCCTACTTGTACTGATTTGAAAATAATCCTTATGAAAGCCAACGGGTCTTACTCCCAAATAAGAGCTGTAGTCTTCCTAAAAGATCCCATTGAAATTAAGAAATTGTATTACAAAGTACAGTACATGTTTAGGATTAGAGTGCAGCAATTTAAGAGAGTATTCATTCTTCTAATCAGTAATTTCTTACTTCACCTCCCAGAGACAGACTGCATGTGACCTACAGATTTTGAAAGAATATTTCTCAATATAGCAAAAAAAATCTTCTAAAGCAGAATCAAGCAATTACAGTGTTATATAAACATGAAACATGGTGATAAGCACCTGTGATTTCAATAAAGCTTACAATAAAGTAACATGTATGAATGCCTTAAAAGCAATGGCTTTTTAATGCATTTTTAAAGGGGGGGGAGGGCATTTCTTTTGATAAACAGTTGCATTTGGAAAAAAAATCTGCAGAAGAGCAAAACACAGAACTGGACTTCAAACTGAGAATTTCAAATCCTTTCTTTCATGGAAAGAGTTAATAGAAAATGAACTACATACATCACTTTGACAGGAATCTACATGCCCAATCTGTTCTTACTGAACTACAAGAAAAAGGCATCTGGGTTTTGTCCACTTAAAGCTTTTTGCAAATTGAAAGGAGTTTGGAGTGGGTGGGGAGGGCATAATTGAGGTCACTGAACCCATTCCAAGCTGTGTCATTGAAATTTTCCAGTGCTTGTAGGATGTCAAATGGTGGTTGGGCAAACAGAGGGAAAAAGAAAGCGGCAACACTTTTTGTAACTTTTACAATAGTGGGAAATGGTTATGAGGTACCACTTAACGAAAAGAAGAATGCTACTTTGTTACAAAAGAGACACCACAATACATGCATTGTTTGTGAAATAAACGATAAACAAAAGTCAACATGGACGATCTTTCTCATAACGAGTATCACTAGCATGAGAAGAGGTGACTGCTGATTTTACTAATGGAGCTATGTTTCATCCACTAGGAGCTTCTTGCTTTGATACTAGACTTCATAGTCCCATACCTTCTCTCCTCTATTAGAAATGACAAGTACTTCTCTGTATTCTCTAGTATCAATAAATGCTATACAATAGAGGTGGACAACTTTTTCCCCCTGCTAAGGTCCACATACATCTCCTCAGTGGTAACCTGTTTGAGAATGCATGCCAGCAGTGGATGGGGCCAGCCAAGGCCAAAGCTGAGTGAGCCTGACCTTTGTTGCCTTTCCTCTTCTTCCTCTCTACCTGGTGGGGTGCTGGGAAAGCAATACATTGCTATTAGAGAGGCCTGAACTAAGATTCTGCAAGGACTTCTGAAATTAGGTGCAAGGCCACATGAAACCAGACTGAGGGCTGTATGTGGCCCTGGACCAGAAATTGCCCAACTCTGCTGTAAAACATGTCACATGCTGTCATTCTGCTTCACTTTTCCTGTTCCCACAAGCAGTTGCAATGATGCCCCTTCACACATTCTGTATTTCTGAATGCTACAGTAATAAAGAGAGTAAAAGGCAAGATATGTTCTCTATAATTCCGCTTCCAAAATGGTGGTGGTGGTGGGGGGAAGGATAAATTCCCCCTGAGAGGTGAGCAAAAAAATTGCACTGGGTGCAACAAGATGACAATTTCATAAGGAAAATGTTCTTACTGCCTCAAACAAACTTCTGCAATGTATTCTATTTATGATTTCTGAAGAAAATGTTCACAATTAATTTAAAATGATTTCATTACATATTTCTATTTATTTTAAAATTTTTATTGTAAATTGATTTTTTTTGTTAGAAGCGAGTTGAATGATGGTAAAGGAGAGGTGAGAGGCATGAAGTTATCTCATAAATTGAAAGTGTGGAGTGATGCCAATGTTTAGTTTTGAGCTAAAAGTAGTCAGTGTTTCACAGACTGTCAGCCATTCTGGTAGACGATGTTTCCAAGTTTTTTCACTTGTGGTACTAAGGACATTTTAGTCTGTAAGATGAGACATTGTAGTCCTTCAAGGTTTTCTACAAAACTATATTATTCACTCACACTTACAGAATCCCTTTGAAGGCTTATACTACCTATTTTGAAGGACACTTGTATTAGTACAAAAGATTACATGTGAAACTCAAACTTGTGCTAAATGAAGAAATATCAGAAGAGCCAATTTGGAGTAGGAAAGAAGAGGTGAGGGGAAGGGTTGATCTAGACTTTTTCCTACTTGCTGCTCGCTATGTTTTCCCCTACAACTCCACTCATGGTGCAGTGTGTTGCAACACCATAGGTAACCAAAATCGTGATGATTACATTAGTGTGGCTGGCATGCACTTTATATTTTAAATACCTGTTTGACAGGCAGTAAAAATGCACATAGCCGGCTACATGGATGAAGTAGTATCGGGAGACTGGTTTCCCTGGCCTGTGAGCCCCCAAGCAAAGCACTATTGAAATTAAATAGAGGTTGAACAACAGTTTGAGATATGGCATAGCTTCCTGCTCTTTAGAAAGAGAGGGAAAACATCCCTAAAATTCCACAGGAAAAAAGGTTTTCATGCACACGAGCAATTCTGTTCTGGCTACGTGCTATATTATAATATGGAGAGGCATATACTGTATGACTCCCCCTATCAATCACACATGGGCTGAGAAGGATAGAAAGTCTTTTGTAACATATAAAATTTTCCAAGTATACTGGTCATGAAGTCTTTGACTCAAGAATATTTTACTGACATGAAGGTAAATCCCAAGTAAATTCTCCTGAAGTGGTTGCTGTGGGAGCACTGCCTGTCAAAAATTACAGAAAGGTGAGAAATGGATCTACCAAATCTGGAAGGATGACTTGGTATTTGCACCATTTTTACACAGAACTACGCCCCCTCAAAAAAAAAACAAAAAAACCTAGGATCAAATTAAAGCTGGCACTGGTATACATCACAGAATGGACTTGTGACTGCAGATGTGAACTGTAATGGGTTGGTGATGAGGAGGGAACAAAGCATTATGAGGACCTATAAAGATTCACACTTCAGGGCTTTGTTTTTGTGTTGTGGCTGTTCTGACAACTACTGGAGCTGTAGTTTTGATCGTGCAGGCAGATCATGGAGGTGGTGGTGGTGGAGGGGTAGGTAAAACTCTCACACAAGTTCAAACCATAAATTTTAATATTATTTATGGTTCTCATTTAATAATTTCAGCACTCATACAAAAGCTGTGTGGATGGATGGGTGGCATTCTGTTTGCCTCTCCTCTCTCTCCTGCCCCTCTCTCTGTATCAACTCTTTCTTGTCCACATGTCTATTCTGTATGTTCACATACAAGCTAATTTCAAAAGTCATTTAGTAGTTCAGTGAATGACAAATTTTTAGCAGAGGTGAATTGTCATGCAAGCTACACCTACTAATATTTTCAAAGGTGCATGAAAACTGTCTCTTTTGCACCTGGGTAGTCACCCTAATAAATAATATTATACTTCTTCCCACCACACATCCTTCTGGGTTGCTCAGCTACCTCCTGCCATTCACTTTATTCTTTGTACTTTTGATTACTGTCTCCTCTCCCACCTGATTGCTCCAAATCCCTACCTCCTGTTGGCCTTACCCTACAGTTGCCAGATCTTAAGAAGATTAATAATTCTCTGAGATTTAAAGCCAGTGCACTGAGTTCCCCAGGCAAGATAAAAATTTTTTTTAGGGCCAATGGTGCTAAAAAAGAAGAAAATTTGATCTCCTTGTATGTACAGTGGTGCCCCGCTTGACGACGACCCTGCTTGACAAGGAAATCACGATCACAAAACGATGGTTCCTATGGGGATTTTTCGCTTTACATTGATAAGGTGCCTGCTTCGCGAACTATTTGTTCGCAAAACGATGTTTTTTTCTGGCACCGCAAAATGGCTTCCCTTTGCAAAATGGCTTCCCTCCCTTCGCAAAATGGCTGTTTTCCGGACAGAAGCTTTGGAAGACAGCGATTTTAAACAACTGATCGGTGGTTCTCTATGGGCGATCTTCACTGGACGATGAGGTATTTCCCCATTGTACAGTTTTCAATGCATTCCAATGGGTTTTTTTCGTTTGACGAAGATTTTGCTTAACAGCAATTTTCCTGGAACGGATTATAGTTGTCAAGCAGGGCATCACTGTATTGGCTTTAATACCTGGATGCACATCTTTCCACTCCCTACTGATGCCAAGATTCACTGGCTCAGTGTATGTACATACACTTTGCTTACAGAATGTGTCTGGAGAAGGATGATCAGGATTATAAAAGGTCTGGAAACTAAACCCTAGGAGCAACAGCTGAGGGAACTGAGTATGTCTAGCCTGGAAAAAAAGAAGTTTGAAAGGTGATATGATAGCCATCTTCAAATATCAAAAAAGCAGTCACATGGATGATAGAACAGGTTTGTCTTCTCTATCTTCAGAGGTTAGGACCCAAAGTAATAGTTTCAAATTATAAGAAAGAAAATTACACATACATATTAGAAAATTTCCTGATGGGAAGAATTGTTCCATGGTGAACAGCTTTGGAGGGTGGTGGACTCTTCTTTGTTGTAGTTTTAAAAACAGAGATTAGATGGTCACATGTCAAGGTTGCCTTAGCTCTGGATTTCCTGCTTTGGCAGGAGGTTGGACATGATGTCCCCTGAAATTCCTTCCAGATCTATAGTTCTATGATTCTATAACACTTGTTAAGAGATAGTACAGGAAATCCACATTGTCTGCCTCACTCTCTCACGCATACACATGCACACACCAACAATTTTGCCATTACTGCAGAAGAATCTGTCTCTTGTACATAAAAAAGAATGCCTGCTTCTTTGTCTTACGTTTTGGCCTG